GGCAAGTTACAACTGAAAAGTTCGGCCACTATATAATATTTTAATATATATTATTTGTATTCAATAATATGGGAAAATTATGTGTATAATACGTGAATTTTGTGTGAATTATTGAAAATTTTGTAAAAACCACGTGTATTAAAAATGAAAAATACGCACGTATGTGTACAATAAGTGTATTGTATGTTTGCTTTTTTACAAACGTGTATTGTACCAAGTCTTTAAATTACATGTATGGAAAATGGAAGTATTATTGAAAATACATACGTACGTGTATAATACAAGTATTAAACGGGAAAATGCTAAATTCTTTATATTTACAAAGCATAGCCGCCCGGCTAAATTCCTCACACTTAAGCGTACATCCGCGCGGCTATACTATTTATTAAAACATTTTTAAAAATCCCGAGTCTAGCCGCCCGGCTATACGCTTAAAAAAAGTAAAAAAAACCACTTTATAGCCGCGCGGCTATGCTATTTATGAAGGAAATTTACGGAACACCACAGTATAGCCGCGCGGCTATGCTCTTTAAATACAATATATTTAAACTGTATAGCTATGCGGCCATACTATTTATTAAAAAATTAAGAAAAATAGACCCCCAGTATATTGAAAAGAGAGTTGGGGCTCCAAGTTTCAACATATCCAAAGCAGATATTGAAAAGAGAGAATTTTCACAGTAAATCAATCTGAGAGTTCAATTTTTTCTTCTTCTTTTTTGTGTTGGAATATTTGCCTTTGATCTACCTCGTTCTCTTGAGTGATACTGAATTATGTTACTGCACTAATTATTTGTTATAGAGAATTGCACACTAAGTTAGAGTGGTCTTGGTAATTGCTTCACTTTCCAAACAACACTTTACATGAAGAATACTACCACTTCTCTTACTACCATACCTATAACACTTTGTTTGACATTGTTGTTCTCGTTGGCAAAGAGATTGCAAAATCACCATGTTCCATTTTTCTTACAACAAGTAAGAGATAATCTCAGCATCTCAATTTCTTTCATAGTTAGTAAAATACAGAACGGGAAATTATGAACAAAATACGTACGTGTTTTATTCAGCAAAACTTTGGCAAGTTACAACTGAAAAGTTCGGCCACTATATAATATTTTAATATATATTATTTGTATTCAATAATATGGGAAAATTATGTGTATAATACGTGAATTTTGTGTGAATTATTGAAAATTTTGTAAAAACCACGTGTATTAAAAATGAAAAATACGTACGTATGTGTACAATAAGTGTATTGTATGTTTGCTTTTTACAAAACGTGTATTGTACCGAGTCTTTAAATTACATGTATGGAAAATGGAAGTATTATTGAAAATACATACGTTATGTGTATAATACAAGTATTAAATGTGAAAATGCTAAATTCTTTATATGGGTAAAACTATGGAAAAGTAAAAAATCAAAAGGGGAAAATGGAGACTTGGGTAATGAAGTACTAGTAATGGATAATGCTCTAAACTACTCTTATCAATAAAAGAAAAACAGAGAAATATATATATATATATATATTTTTAAAAGGACCCAGTATAGCTTTAATAAATAAATAAAATTTTTAAAAAGTCCCGAATATAGCCGCCCGGCTATACTGTTTATTGAAAATATATATATATATATCCTGGTATAGCAGGCTATACTCTCTGAATATTTTTTTTTTTAAAAGTGTGTTGGCTAAGGTTGTTATCAGATCTTTGGGAAAGGGGCCTATCACTTTACTATCTTGATAGGTACTAGTTCTTTGACGGTTATTGTTTCCATATGATTTTGTTAGGTACTGAGATAATTAAATTTTTGAAAAACAATAATACTTGATGTAGAAAAAATTAAAAAGTGTGTCACTTTAGCCTTAGATATGTCATTGGAATAAAAGTAAAAATTAAGGTTTTTATTTTATTTTATTTATCTGAGGAAGATTATGGATGAAGTTAAACTAGGTTTTGAGCTAGTGACTTTTGGCCATATGTAGGAGCAAGCATAACCAAGTATATTTATGAGTGAAGGTATAATTCTAGCTGACACTTTTTTAAGTGCTTTTCACTCTCATGTATTGAGTGTAAAGGTGAATAAAATTCTTATAACCACATACTCGATGAATGCAGATTGGCCAAGATCCGAAACTTGTCATGCGAGACACCTATAACATGTTTAAAGGTGGGGGTGATCCAGAAAAGGTGTTGACTAAGAAATTTTTTATTTGACGAAAACCATTTCTTAGTTGAGCTAGCTAGTTGTGTAGTTCATAAGGTTAGAATTTAGAAAGGCATCTCCTGTATGTGCGTCTCCCAATGTATTCTCATGTGGTGGTGTTGGTTGTGGAGATGGTGGTGGATGTGGAGGTTTTGGAGGAGGTAGTGGTCGTGGTGGTGGAGGTGGTGGTGGTGGAGGTGGTGGAGGAGGTGGAAGAGGTGGTGGTTGTGGTGGTGGTGGCGGAGGATGAGGATGAGGAGGATGTGGTGGTGGTGGTGGCGGCGGTGGTTGTGGAGGTAGTGAATGTGGTGGTGCAAGTGGTGGAGTTGGATGTGGAAGTGGAGGTGGTGTCATTTTTTAAAATG